TCTTTTCCCTCAGGGCTAAAATGGAAATAGAAATCTCATTTAGTGCTGACTTTTAACACCCGTCTGTATTTCAGGGGTCTGCAACAGGTGTGTCCAGCGTTTCGACCACCACTGTGTCTGGGTGAACAACTGTATCGGTGCTCAGAACACACGTTACTTCTTGCTTTACCTCTTCAGCGTCTGTGCCATGGCAGGCGACATGGCCTTACTAACAGCAGACATGCTGCTTCATGCCGTACTGCACTCAGGACTTCTGAGGGCCAGTTATATAGATGAATATGGCGAGCAGCAGCCGGCGGGGCCTCTCTTTGTCGTACAGGCAAGTCTCAATACTGCTGACCCCTTTCTAAACATATGTTACAGCCATGTTTATTTCCAAGTCGAATCATTTTCTTTTTCCCTCTGTCCCTCCAGCATCTGTTCCTGACCTTCCCCCGAGTCATCTTCATGTTGGGCTTTCTGGTCTTCGTCTTCTTCCTGCTGGCGGGTTATGCCCTGTTCCATTCCTACCTGGCTCTTGTCAACCAGACCTCCAACGAGTGGTACAAAAGTCGAGGTTATGTTTGTCAGCATTGTCACCCAACTACAACAGCAGACCATCTCTGTAGCCCCGCACCAGACCCCTCTAAAAGATACTACTACAGCCGAGGGCCTCTCAGAAACCTGGGGGAGATTTTCTTCCCTCCAAAACCTGTTCAGAAAAAAGACAACTGAAAAAAGATACTGCCCTTGTGTTGTTATGCTGCATTTACTGTTCGTTCCTTCAGATTTACTGTTTCTAAGAACGCCTTCTGACTGGAGAAATAAAGTTTACGTTAATGATTTCTGCATGGCTTCTGGTGTCTGTCTGGTGTCAAAATAACATCTTGAGTTTTTCAAAGACGGCAGTTTCCATTTTTCAGAGAGTCTGATGCTTAACTCTGTGTCTTTGATGGAATGGTAATCAGAGCTGCAATGATTGATTGATCAGTTGATTGAATGGAAATTAATCTGCAACTCTTTTGGTAATCAATTAATTTATTCCTTGATAGTCATTATCAAGCAAACATGTCAAACATTTGATGACTCCTAAGAATTTAGGTTGACCTTATATTAAACTGAATATTTTGGGGTTTTGGACTGTTGGACAATGCAAGACATGTATGATCTTGTGCATCTGGTGTGCACTATATATGATATATTATGATTTTCTAATGTTTTCTGATTTTTTTGTAGACCAATCTATTAATCATGGGAATAATCCGTATATTATTAAAAGTTTTGTTTATGAAAATTTAGTTTCAGCCCTGACTGACACAAACTGGGACTGAACCGGAAGCGGGGCTGGACTTCTTCGCGTGTTGTTCCTGCCCCTTTAAGCCGGTGCGGAAGTAACTCGCAGAATTGAAGCAACGCTCAGAGGAAGAAGGTCAGGTCCGGTCAGGTCTTCTCTCTCGTGAGTTTTAACACTACGCTTTTAAAACCAAACCAGTTTATTACTCAACACAAAGACAAAATTGGGCGTTTCTACATACTGTGCTGCAGAAGTTTATGCCGTAACGTCCGTGACTTCGGTCGGTGGGGGAAAGCAAAGTGCGGTAACTACGCTACAGAGATCCGAGGCGTTTCATTTTAAACCAGCCAGCGAGTAACGGTTCGGTATCACTCCGTCCTCCGCGATGTCTGGGTCCAAATGCACACGGCTGAGCGGAGCGCTGGTGAAACAAGTGCTGGAGTCGGTGGACAGCGTCCTGTTTGACTGCGACGGGGTCATCTGGCGGGGGGACCAGGCCATCCCCGGCGCCGCTGAAGTCATAAACCTGCTCAAGAAAAATGGGAAGAAGGTCTTCTTCGTCACCAACAACAGCAGCAAGACGAGGAAGATGTACGCCGATAAAATGACCACGCTGGGGTTCAGCGTGACAGAAGACGAGGTGTTTGGGACGGCGTACTGCTCCGCCATGTACCTGAAGACCGTCTGCAAGCTGGAGGGCAAAGTGTACCTGATAGGCAGCAACGCGATGAAGCAGGAGCTGGAGGCCGTGGGGATCCAGCAGACCGGGGTGGGACCAGACCACATCTCCGGGAAGCAGATCGACTGGGCCAACGTGCCTCTGGACCCCGAGGTGAAGGCGGTGGTGGTGGGCTTTGACGAACATTTCAGTTACATGAAGCTGAACAGAGCCTTGCAGTACCTGACCCAGCAGGGCTGTCTGTTTGTGGGAACCAACAGGGACACCAGGCTGCCGCTGGAGGGGGGCAAGGCTGTCCCAGGTAGGGATATTACACCGGACACATTAAAGAGGCTTAGAGCAGATTAACACACAAAGTGAAGCTGTTACACACGTTGAGCTCTCACACTCACACAACTTTTGTTTTGTGTGGTGAAAATAAGGCTTCATTTTTTGAATTTGACAGGTCTTGACATACATTTTGAGGGTAACCTCATGTCAGTAAAAAAAAAAGAGACTTATCACTCACAGACCTATACATTCTCAAGAGAAACATGCTGGATGCTGAATCATGCTTAAAATGACAAACACTTGAAAGATGCAGAACTTTAATGTTCTTATGTGTATGTAAAAAAGTCTACTTCCTGGAAAGTCTTTGTCCAGGACACACAGTTATATTTAAAAGGCTTCAGGTAGGTATGCCAATATAATAGAGGTTTTGGCTCCTACCTGTCTGACCCTGTTCCTCCCATCTGCTCTGAAGTCCATCAAATGCCGGAAGTATTAAAATACTCTCTTAAGACACTTCAACTGTAAAACAAAGCCAGACTGTACATTACCCATACTTATTTAAGAGTTGAGTTAAGAGGAGGAACTTTGACAAAAAGCTGGTGCAGATGCTGCGACCTCAAGAAATAAACAAGTAATAACCAAATTTACAGATTTTTTTAAAAGGGGCACAGTTGTTTCATGTGTTCTGTGGCTCTGGATTGCTCTGGATGAGTCTTAGAAAAATAACTCTAATGATGGATTGGATTGGACTCTAGGACTTAAAGTCATTATACTACAGCTTTTGTTTTGACCATCCTTTTTTTTAATGGAAGTTCAAGGCTCAGATGCTGGAGTTTCCCTTCAATGAGCTGCAAGGGCCACAGAAACTCTCGCTTTCCTTTGTCGAGTTAAATTATCAGTTGATGGCACAGGGAATTAAATGGATTTGCTGTGATCTGTAGTGGCATGAAGTAAAAGGTCACCTCACCTCCCGATCCTCTCTCCTCCCCCTCAGGTACAGGCTGCCTGCTGCAGGCCGTCGAGACAGCCGCCCAGCGCCAGGCCCAGACGGTGGGCAAACCCAACCACTTCATGTTCGACTGCGTGGCCTCCCAGTTCGGCGTGGACCGCGAGCGCTGCCTGATGGTGGGCGACCGCCTCGACACGGACATCATGCTGGGCTCCAACTGCGGCCTGAAGACCCTCCTCACCCTCACGGGGGTCAGCACCGTGGCGGATGCTGAGGCTCATCAGAAGAGCGGTTGCGCGGAGAGGCAGGGGATGGTGCCGGATTATTATGTGGAGAGCATCGCAGACCTCCTTCCAGCTCTGCAGGGATGAGACTGCTGCAAGTCTGTCGAGACTGAAGAGTAGCTACGTGATAGCCTAGCTACTGTAAACCTGAGGAATTTGGGTAGCCTGTCACATGCCAGGGTCCACTGTCTTCTAAAAAAGGGAATATTTTCACTAAGATTCAAATCATCTCTATAACAAAGTCACAGCTGTCGTGTGATAGGAGACAAAGACTCTAGAGACACTATCCAGATTTTATCAGCACTTTTGTCTTATACTAAACCATTATTAAAACTTGCTCATTTTACATGATTTAAATGTTTGATTAATAACACAAGAACAACAATTTCCAGTATTGTTTCAATGTAATTTAAGTGTTAAAGAGTGTGGCTAAAAGCAGAGGAGTGTATGTTCCTTTTTTTGAGTAAGAGGTGAGTGTACTTTAAAGGGCTTATCCTGTCTGTGGTGCAATCGCCCCTTAAGCAACAAGTAGTCAAACTCAAGAGGGGAAATAAGCACACAAAAAGACAGTCAACAGTTTGGTAATATGTGTGTGTTCAGGTAGAGGCAGAGAATGGGGCTAAAATGCACAAAACGGGTATGACTTGAGCTTTGTGTTTCTTTGTGTATTTTAACACCTCAACAGAATGTTCTCATATCTGCAATTAAGACTCATGGGAAGGTGCAATGATATCCAGTCCTGTCGTTTATGTCTGTTACGTGAACTATTATTGAAACAGAATGACATTAATGTTTCAGATGTATTTCAATCTTCCTTTTACCATCCACTTACTGACTTGTCTTCAGGAACAGCGTCACTTCTGCCTCCAAAGCAATGCTGAAGTCTGTATTAAAACATAAAACTGTCTTCACTAAATCAGCCTCTGCTCTCTGTGGCTTTAAGTTCAAAGTGAACACAGCAAACTTCCCTCTGAATCCTGCGCTTAAAGTCACCTTGGGCTGTCAGCGGCTGGATGCAGCAGCAGCAGTTAGAAGCGCTTATCACCTCTCACCTGATGAGAGAGACTTTCCAACCTGCGCCTGCCTCACCTCTTTGTCCTTTGTGTGGCCTGGGGAGGGCGGCCAATTCCTCTCCAGTAAGTGTACGTTTGAATGAGGGAGTGGGGGGGTCAGAGTAGGTACAAAGATGGATAATGTTAAGAGAGGCATATTAAAGTCATATCAGACAAGGAAGACATTAAAAAAAAAGGAGGAAATTGCAGGAAGACCAAACTTGAAAACTGGCAAGATGCAGAGTTTTGTGTGAAAGTGGGGGGGCTGTTTTGGGAGGGAAACAGTGAGACCAAAGGAGGAGGAGGTGGAGGAGGAGGTGGAGGAGGAGGAGGTGGAGGAAGAACAGGAAGAGGGGAGGTCTGAGGTCTGTGGGGACAAAGAGAAGCTGGCCAGGTGAAGCGAGTCTCAGTCAGCGCTGGTCATGACCACAGCTCCATGCCGATAGCCACGAGAAGGGAGCAGACTGAGTGAGGAGCCGTCAAGGGACACAGGATGGTGAGGTGCTGGAAACATTCAGAAAACCGTTTGGAGGAAGCACAGTGCACGGTAAGTAAAAGACATTTATTCCATATTGACTGAGGAAAGATTTGCCACTTTTCTACATTACCAGCAAGAATCATTTGTAGAGGAGGATGGGACTTCCAGATGTTCATTTAACTCCAAATTTCAGCAGCAAAACAGTAACCATCACATGAATACAGCTGGTGGTTTACGTCCCTGTGCCGAGGTGTCGAGTACTTTTTGAAATAGCTCGTCATTGTTTCTTGTGTGTGGTGACATCTCTTCAGGATGGGGGCCCTGCTGCGTCCCCCCAGTCCCACTTCCCACATAAGGCATTCTGGGTCAGCCTCTCAGCCTCTCTGCTCCTGGTTGTCATTACCCTCGGTTTGACGGGGTACCTCGGGATGTCGCAACCCCACTCTCAGGTATGACGCACACCTCACCCACCGTAACCTCCATATTGTTTTTTTTTTTTTGTTTGTTTGTTTTTCTACCTCCAATAATCAGAACGTGTTTCTGCAGTCTTTACAGATTGTGAGAATCGCAGTTCCAGATCAGACTGGAGCTCTGATCAATCAGTCGGCCGTTGTGGACCAGCAGAATGACCTGGTGACCTTTTCCGTGACCTCACCGGCAAATCAGACGTCCACTGTGCTGTTTGATATCAAACATGTGCGTACAGATGATTTGCATTGTTGTGATTTACATTCCAGCTGAGAGAAATGGAAAGTAATGCAAGCGGCTGACTGTCTGCTGTTGTGTTGCAGGGTTTGATTTGTTACAAACCGCTCGAGCAGGACAGCTGCCTCCTGCGAAAGATGGAGCAGTCTGATTATGACAACGTGCACTCCCTCCTTCATGAGTCAACACACAAGGTAACAGGCAGTGACATTTCAACACGTGAGAACTGAACAGTTGAGTTATATAACAGGATTTCCCTCGCTGCGTTCAGGATATGTGAGACTGCGAAACGCTTATTAAGAAAAAGAAAGCCGGGGGCTGCCCTTTTAGCTCTGCCAGCTGTTTCTAAAGTCTCAGCCTCACTAATGTGTGAACTGGCATTTCTGTCTGAGACTCATAGCTTTATCCACCGAGCCAGGACCCGCTGGGTTTCATTTGTTTTGCATGACTTCCCCGCCACTCCGTACAGAGAGAGAGGTGAAGCAAACAAGGGCCTTGAAGAGCCCATAAGAGTCTCCCTCTCTCGCCTCCACGGCTGAATTCCTCAGCACATCTGATCCCTCCAGCCCCCTCGGCGTGCCCTGGATCTTCTTACAGGAGGCTACGGGAGCGAGCCCAAGCCCTGGAGCAGGGCACAATGGCTGCTCTGTGTGAGGGCTCTTTAGCTTTTAAGACTCCTCTTGGATTAAAATACAGCCTGATGCACTGGGTAGTCAGGGGAGGGCCATGTGTATCTGCCCGGTGGCAAATACCTGACTGGTACACAACCTTGACGCCTGACTGTCGTTTCTGAATTCAGCCCTGTTGCCCTCATATGATTTGTAGGGAACCATGTGAATCCTAATTGTAATGTGACAATATGAGCAGGTGAATGGCCATGCTGTAGGTAAATGGAGACCAGAGATGTGATGTGGGACCTTGCAGGTAAACTGAGAGCAAATTCTGTTTCTCTGCCTTATCTTCTTGCACAATAGCCCATTTCCACGCATCAAAAGCTGCAGTTGAGTCTCTGAGCATTTTTGTGGTGTCACATGTCTCACACTGCCCCTCCGCATTCAAACCTAGCTGTTGATCGTCGTCATTTAATCTATGATAGGCGGGAAAGGCTCGTTTGGATGGAGAGTGGATGTGGTTCGTCTCTGTGTTGAGGCACAATGGTCGTCTTGGTCTCATGCAGCAGAGGAAAAGTGGTTGTTATGTGACCCACTCAAGCATGACAGTAGTCCGAGTGGTTCACTATCGGAGGCGTAAGTGGTGCAATTACACAGAGCCTTTGCGGCGAAGAAGAGCGTGAATGTGCAGCCGCGTTGACCTCATCGGCGAAGATATCGGCCTAATAGCGAGTTCGAGTTTCAGCCTTGGTTTTCCTCTTCATATCTCCACCTCTTTCACTCAAATGTATTCAAACGACCTTGACACTGTGATAACAACTGAATGACGCTCCAGCTCAGGAGTTTTATACTCCTTTCTGCAGAGGACAAAACTCTTTGTCCGTTGTGGGTTTTCTGTTGAGATACTGTGATACTGTCCCCCGCAGAGTCACTTCCAGCTGTCTGAGAATGAGACCCAGAGGCAGACAGAGTTCCTGGGGGTGCTGGCAGCCAGTCAGGTGGACGTGTCCACGCTTGAGGAGCCTCTGCAGGCTCTGTGTCGGGACAGGTCCGTCCACTGGACCAGGAGGGCCAAAGGTCAGAACAGTCAAACTTTAGAAAGCAAAGGATTGTTTTGACATAAACATCAAATGATGTCATGTGTCTTTCACTGGTGGGATCCTGTTTGAGTAACACTTGCTATAAACTACAGTCCCCAGTTGTTTTTGTGAATTACGCAACCTTTTTTAAATATGAGGCTTTATACTGTTGACTTGTTTTTGAAGATTTAGGAGAAATGAATGGGCATCAGACTCACTCTGCAGACACGGTAGACAAGTCAGAGAAGATTGTTGGTTCTGGATTTTTCACACGATTTATCAACACAAAAATATAGATTACTCAAGCCTGAACCTTTAAATCCTGGTCTTACAATAAATTACGGAAACCACATGTGGTTTCAGCTTAACCACTGATTTATGAATCCTTTCACAAAGATGTAGAATTTCCCCTGCCCACAGACAACCGAGTAATCCTGACGATTATTTCCTTGATTCATTGTTTTGTCAATGAAATGTCAGGAAATAGTGAAATAATATAATATAATCTCCCAGAGCCCAGGATGACATCTTCATATTCGTCTTTGTCCAAAACCCGATGATTACTGCCGTAAAGCAACAATTCCTCACATTTTAGAAGCTGAAACTAAACTATTTTTTGGCATTTCTGATTAATCAATTATCAAAATAAATCAAAATCTTCACTGAAACGTTGCCATTATTTGCTAAAAGAGTCAATTAAGATGTTAGCTTAAAAAAATCAACAAAGCACACAAAGCCATATGTAACACAAGGTGAGTTCAGGATACATTTGTCAGGACCCGCAGAGGCTGAGCACGGGCAGTATTTAAAATTAGTCAGCCTGCAACTCCATGATGAAGCAAAGTGTCAGGCTGAAACTCAACCCCCAATCTACTCGTACAGTGACCTTTCCACTGTGGCAGTAAATGGCAGGCTGAAAAAAAACACGACGTACTTAACTGTATAGTCACTCAACAACCTAGTACATGTCGTGCTGCTGACACATCTGACATATCTTTAGTAGTGTAAATATCACACACTTATCAGGCTGCTTTTAAACCATCGACTGTTTGTGACAGTGACCTATTTTGTGACTGGTTCAAAGCCAGGAGAGTTCTGATCCGTCTCCATTATAAAGGCTCGTCTTTTAAACAGCGTCATCATGTATTTTAATGCGTCACCATCTCTCTCTCTCTCTCCCTGTTTCTCAGGCCCGGGCAAACAGAGGCTGGTCTACTTCTGCATCGACATCTGTTTCCCCAGCAACATCTGCGTGTCTGTCTGTTTCTACTACCTGCCAGAGTGACTGTGTGTATTCAATTCTTCTCCTCCCGGCAAAAGATCAGGGAAACAAAGTTATCTTTATAGCTCTCCTTCTACAAGAAAAAAAAAAAAAAAACAGAACAAAAACCAGCTTTGACTGTTTCCTTTGTGCCATACAGCCGCCAGTTAACCAGTGAAGCAGCGAGCCCTTCCAGTCCGTTTCCATCCTTCCGAGAGAGAAGAGATGGAGACAGGCTGTCACGGTTATCGCCAAAGCCCCATCGTCACTCCCTTTATGTCTAATACCCTCTGGTGGCACACTTCAGAGATTACAGAAGAAAGATCCCCCTTTTTTTTTTTGTACACACCTCTAATTGTATTTCCTGTAACCCACTACTGCAGTGTAATTATGTGTAACCATTCCTGTTGCGATGTGAGTGTTTTGATCTGCCCAATAAAAGACTGTTGGGTATTTTTGTCCCGATTTTTCTTCATCAGAGTGAAAATTGGAAGGAGACTGACAGAACTCACAGACTCACAGAGTACAGACTTGTCTTTACTGCGGAATCTCAACCTTCATTTACTCTCTAATCCACACAGGGTCATTAAGAATAGTACACCTTACAACTCGACTCTGAATGAAGAGTATCAAATGAATCATACATAAATCACACATGAGAGATTAATCAATTCCATGGCCCATCCAAACACAAAGTTACTGTAAATAACATGGTCCTTTTCGTACAATAAATATGGTGTACTATAAAAACGAAGACTTGAAATTGGTCTGGTTCGTGCACAGAATGATGAAGTTAAAACTGTGTGGGGTAGTTGATAAACACTACCGTGTATTTTCATCCAACTCAGACCAATTTCTATATTTGCATACTTACAGGCATCTGGCAGAAGAACCGTCATTATGTTCAAACACAAGCCTCTGCTTTCTCAAGATTATAATTTCAGGGAGAACTTTTAAACTTTTAAAAATTCCCACTGACGCCGACGGACACACACCCTCTGAGAATTCACTCACATCTTCTTAAGAGTCCTTATGCTTCCTTTGCAGTGACTGACCGCCACCTCTTTTCACTTCATCTTCATCTCTTTCTTCCCCCTCCTCCTCCCCCTCCACCTCCTCCTCCTCAGCCCAGCACACTGTCATTGAAGGCCAGACACACCACGGCCTTCTGGTGGCCACTGTATTCCCTCTTGATCTCGCCGGTTTCCACACACCACAGGCGAGCCAGGTTGTCAGAGGAAGCTGTGATAGAAAACACAACCTTAAATTCACCTCAAGGCAAATTAAATCTTAATCACTAACATGTTACTGAACCTTTCCCTGCTCTCTCTTTCTAAAAGACTTAACTCTCTTAATCTGTGACCAACTAATGAATTGTACTTACGAAAAAAGCCAGATCGTTCTTGTTTTAAATATCTCTGAAGCTAGTAGCTTAATAAAGACTGTCAGCAAAGTCATAACACGACACAGTTACAGATTATTCTTACAGAGGTGGACACTCAGTTTTAGCTTCAACATACAGTATGTCACCCTCACAAATTCAAAAATGCATTTGAATCACACACAACTGGTAGTTTTTCTAATATTATTACTCTTAGTTTCACACTCTCCACATCTTTGCAAATCACAGCTCCACACAGTCCACACTGATGGCAGCCGATTTTTGTTTTGAGGTGTGGTATCTCAGGGAACATCGCAGATCTTTCATAGGTTTTTAAATCGTTTCTAGAGAACAGAATTGCTGGATTTTCTCCGTAAAAAGGAATCGTAGCTTCTCTTGTTATGAATACTACACAGTGCAACCAGGATAAACAAAACTGATAGTGTAAAATGTGACAGAACACATGAATTACCAACTCAAAAAAGTGCTACCAGGGCTCATGTACTGACCAGTTACAATATACTGGGAGTCTCCAGAGAAGGCACAGTCCCACATCCAACCTCTCGACGTCTCTCCAGGATTGTTGCTCTTGATGCTGAGTTCAGTCATAAGTGAGAAGTTGGTCGTTCTCCAGATCTTACAGGTCTGATCTGCTGAGCACGTGGCCAAAAGTCTGCAGATGACGACAGACACAAAAAAGTCATTATCTTCAACCTCAAAACATCCCAAATGGAAACTTCAATTTGCAAATCAGATTTTTAGAGCACAACAGTATCTCATTAAAGTATCCAACAGGGCAGACATGTTAAAAATCGACTGAACGTTTTCCAAGCTACAGTAGCATTATTTGTTATTGGACAGATTAGGTTTTGTAGAGGAGAAGGTCACTCACGTTGAATCAGGGCTGAACTTGCAGCGGAGAGAGTAGCGGTTGTGGGCAGGGATCTTAGTTTTGGGAATGAGCTGAGTCACTTCATCTCCGATGCCTCCAGCGAGGTTCCACACATAACAGTTTCCCTGTCAAAGAGAACAAAGGAGGCTGTTTTAGTCGTAGAATTTAACTTAACACTCAACACAGTATCGGCCCTTTCCAGACTGTTTGGGTACCGACCGAGCTGTTGACTGCTGCCATGTAACTTGCATCTGGGTCAATGTGAACTGAGTTGATTGAGACCTCTGGCTCAGGAATCAGCTGTTCATTGTGGTCAGTCTTCAGATCCCAGATATGAATGACTCCACTCTGGTCTCCAACAATCAGCTCTGCCTGAAAAACAATACTGATCGTTTACTGACATTTTGCAGGCAGTAAGCACACACTCTAATTGACCTACAGTAACATTAGATTAAACAGACATATCTTGCACCACCAAAATAACAAACAACCAATATTAATAAACCACTTACCTGGTTAGGGTGCAGGCACACACAGTTGATTGGAGCATTGACTTGGAAAATCCTCTGACACTGCAGATTTCTTGACCTGTAAGAGGAGCAGGGATAAAAGTTTAGTTTGTTGATCACAAAGTAAATATAATACAGGTCAGTGAGCTTGCCCTGCAGTACCTCAGGTCCCAGATGCGAGCCATGCAGTCCTCTCCTCCTGTGTACATCCAGCGTCCATCTTCATGAAAGCCCACAGATGTGATGTTCTTGCTAACTCCGTCATAGTTGATCACCGGGTTGGGGTTGTTGGAGTTCAGGTCGTACATGCGGATGTGCTGATAACCTAGAAAGCAGAGTGCAAACTTAATGTGAAATATAGCAGAGATGAGTTTAATTTTGCAGTCCCAGCATGACATTAATTGACTAATGAAGCAAAAGATTGACCAACCTGCAGCTGCAATCATACTCCTGTCAGGTGTGACCTCAAGTGAATTTACTTGCTGTAAGCAAACGTTAAGGGTGTGGTTTGTTTAGGTCATGTCTATAACATTTTACAGCAAGGTTCTGATTTGTGAAGTTGAACAAGTTTCTCTAAAGCAGATGGGACACACCGCTGTGAAGATCTCATCCACAGACAAATCCTGGAGCTGCTTCAAACACAATGATCAGATTCTGACAGAAACATGTTGATTTGACTGAGATATGGGTCAGTAGAACATGTTAAACACAGGTGTACTGGTACTAGCAGTCGTTTGATCAACTCAAATGCAAAAGTCAAAAGTTTTTTTTTTTTTTTTTATCTTTCAAGCTTGAACAGACACTGGTCTCTTCTTGTAGGATCTAAATATCCTATATCATCTGACTATTACAGTGTAAACTCTGATTATCTTTCACAGCATGCCAGTCAGAGTAAAGGATACAGAGTCCTGGTGCTGGACTGTCCTGGTGCAGATCCCGCTGTGGGCCTGCCAGAAGAGAGCGGACGGTGTGGTGCGTATCAAAGCCGTGGCCTAGAATGACCGGGTCGGCTGCCCACCGTCCCCTGGTTCACATTCATGCTTGACTGGGTGCTCGTCACCGCTCGGACTGAAGCGAGTATGACAACTGTATGGAAATGTAGGAGGTCAGCTAGCTGCTGTAGTTTTCTTAATATCGTTAGAAATCACGTGTTTACAGGAACAAGGTTCAGTTATTGTCACGCTGTGGGAAAAAAAAAAAACATTTATCTTCAAACGTGCAGGCTTAACGTTAGCAAAAGTAGCCTAGCTTGGTTTAAAGGCTATGCAGTTCCAGGACAGTTTAGGCTAACGTTTTCTGCTCTACACTAAGCCCCTGCGATTGTGAGCGCGTCATTTCACTGTAGGACTTAATTTATAACAGTTTCAACCTCTTAATCAGAAGAAATACAAGTTATGATTACCTTCAGCTGTTTGTGTTGTCTGTACGTCCCTACAATGTGTCCCCTAGAAACATACGATTTATGTTTTGAAAGTTCCGTGTTCTTAGACCCAACGCGCAGTGCTGCCATCTTACTGTACCAAACCTGCTTTTGGTCACGGCAAGAAGAACGGACGACAGTAAAAAAAGTAAAAAAACTGTTTATTTAAATCTAGTTTATCAATGGAGACATGGGCGCCAACATGGTTAAGTCCTTATTTTAGTTAAAAATATACTTTAATTACAAAAACTTCAATTAGAAAATAGTGTTACTTGTGTGAGTTTTGTTTTTAAAACGCTGGTTGCTCATTACATTTCAATAATGGAACAATATCACATTACATATGGACATATAACTGTTTTTTTTTTAAAGTAAGTTTATTTAACAGCTTTAAAAAAAAAAAACAACAGTTACATTCTTAGATAAATAAATATATATTTTAATAAATAAGTTAAATAAATAAATAATGCAGAGAATCTCTATCTGCAAAACATAAAGCAACATGTGGTAAATTTTGCTTGTTTAACATCTTAATCAGAACAATACCAGCAGACAACTGTGACTGCAACATGTGTTTTCCTGCTTGCTTGCTTGGTTGGTGTGGTGTGCTGATCGCAGGCACTACAATCAGGGGCAGACATGTGCTGTTCACCTCCCTGGGTCAGCCAGGGAGCAGGCCATGACCACCCCCCTGATCCCACTCCTCATCTTAGTGGAAGGGAGGATCTGCAAACATATTGTAAAGAATTTTCAAACATGTTATTTGTTTTATAACTTATGGACAAAGCATAGAACCAACGGCTTCAGTACCTTCACGATATTTTGCATCTGCTCCAAAAAGAAA